CAAGATGGTGGCAATAATAATAATAATAATAATAATAATAATAATAATAATAATAATAATAATAATAATAATAATAATAATGATGATGATGATGATGATGATAATGATTGAAATCTTTGCGCTGCTGATAATGATGTTGATGAACTTTCCAAAAGCCTTTCAATAATTCATCGTCATCATCATCATCATCATCATTATCATCATCATCATCATTTTTCTTCTTCTTCTTCCTTTTCCTTCTCTTTCAGCATCATTACCAGTTGTCAAGCAGAGAAGCCCTATATATACACATCGCATATTAATCTCAATTTAAATGAGCAAACTTTGTTTGTATGTATGTATGTATGTATGTTTGTATGTATGTATGTATATGTTTATTTGTTTGTTTGTATGTATGTATGTATGTACGTACTTATGTATGTTTTGTATGAATTCTGCCGAATTATTGGCAATTCATACAATACTGTATAAAATATGGTCTCCTTCCAACATACATTCAAACAAACAACATACATGTATGTTTGTATATATGTATGTATATTTTTATGTTTTAATGTATGTGTGTGTATATGTATGCATTCAAACAAACAATATATATGTATGTTTGTATATATGTGTGTACGTTTGTATGTTCGAATGTATGTGTGTATATGTTTACCTGTATGTTTGTGCAATCTGTCTATATTTGTAGGGTTGTGTGAATGTGTATTTTTGGGTATTTATAAACAACTTGTTTGTCATCATCTGCAGGTTTGTCTAAAGCAAACATTTCTTTCGTTCGTTCGTTCGTTGGTTTGTATGTAAGTTTGTTGGTTTGTTTGTATGTTTGTTTGCTTGTAAGAATGTTTTTTGTTTGTACGTTTGTTTATATAACTTTCTATATGTTTGTTTGTTTGAATGTATGTTGAAAATTTTGGCATTTTAAAGCCGGTGTGTTTGTGTAATTTGTGCTGTATATATAAATACACATATGTATGCATATTTGTATGATTGTTTGTATGTGCACAAAAATACATACAAACAAACATACATAAATACAAACATACATACGTGCCAACATACACGCACACATACAAACAAACATAGAAACAGACAGGCGAACATACGCACGCAAACATGGACAAACAAAATTTACCCATCCAGTTTAATCCACTGCTTAATCTTAAGTAACATCAAGTTACCACCACAGACCTCGTCATCGTCATCATCATCGTCGTCGTCATCATCATCATCATCATCATTATTACTACTGCATCAACTACAATCATCATTATCTTCATCATCTTCATTTCCATTATCATCAGACTCAAGACATGTTAGCTCAAATGGTAAGTGTCATGCCTTGCTGAAACGTGATTGCGCGCTATTGAGTTCAAACGCTGTCTGCCTCTGAGAAAATGACAATCCATACATACACGCATATATACATTCATGCATACATACATATATACGCACATACATACATACATACATACATACATACATACATACATACATACATACGTACATACATACATACGTAATATGTATATGTAATATGCAATATGTAAAATGATCAGCGTCAGATCAGGTGACAGCAGGGAACTGTTTTTCGCAACTAACCACATTTCGTGCTTGTTGCAGCGGTTCCTGCGTGTCTGTGTGTTTGAAAATATCCAACTGAATGCCGACATGTGCAATTAACGACAAATCAAAGTGTTAATCCATTTGTTACTTGATGTTTGACGGTTCAGTGTCACTCATCATGTTTTGGTTTTAACATACATACATACATACATACATACATACATACATACATACATACATACATACATACATACATACATACATACATA